CCTTGACGACTGCCGTGAAGATGATGTCCTAGACCGTAGCGATGTTCGCAGCTGCTCGATGTTGGAGGTCATCCAGATCGAGAGTACTGGTCTCCAGGTAGCTATCCATGGGTGACTCCACACTAGAAGTTTCGCAGCTGTTTGGAGGTGACATGAATTCCAAAGGTCTTCTCCAGTCAGGCTGCGACTGGAGATGACCTCATATTTTGGTGTACATGAAGGTGATGGGCGAGGGCCAGCTCCTGCTTATCGAGGAACATCTTGGGTATCTTCCGCCCTGGTACTCGTATCCACGTCTTCTCTCTGGGCTGCGAAAACTTTGCTGATATGTGACTCGGTCGAAGTGACTTTTTTTGCCCCCCCCCTGTATATCGGAACGCCCGTTCGTATATTTGCACTGGGCCGAATACGCACGACCCAGTGAACATATAATAAGTTGAATGCATGGCGCACTTCAGAAAAAGGATTCAAGTGAAGATCTGCGTGAACTGAAAGTAGTTGCCTTTCAAAAATTCATACATTTCAGGTCTCGCCTACGAAAACAGTTTCACCCAACGGGACAACTCCATCCACGGAGAGGTACGCTTCCTTTCTTTCATCCCTGAACAATCTTCCGCAATAGATAACTTGTTATAAGCTGTGGTATACACCTTTGTCCGTGTCGGAAGACTTCACGTGAAACCTTGCTTATTATTGTTGGTGTATGGTTGGGTATTTGCTCCCACTGGTTAGTGTACCCCACTATCCGAATTTTCGCCACTTATGCAGTGGGCAGTGAGAGCATGGTACAGCATCATTGTGTGAGACGCATGGGGGGTCGTACTTGGCCGCTGGGGAGAGGGGGTCGTATCTGATCGTTGTTCTCAGGGAGAGAGAGAGAGGGTCGTATAAGCCTTCGAGAGAAGTTTGCTGCGTTGGGAAAATTTTTTTTGGTTGTTGGCTTTTCGCGGTTTTCCCCGTTTCGCTGGTGCTATATAACCTCCCCCCCCTCCCACCGCTGTACGGAAATTTTTGGGTGAAAAACTGGAAAACGTGGGAAATTTTGGAAAAACTGGTGGGAAGCTGGGAACTTGTAGGAAAGTGGTAGGTAGGTGTTGGGGAAGAGGGAGGGTCGTACCGAGCCCCTCCCTCGAGGTCGTACTGACACCACCATTTCACACATCACGATGCTGTATTTTGAGTGAGAGTTGGTGTTCTTGTTTCTCCCACTTGGTCTTAATCTTTCATTTCATTTGGGAGATGAATTCGGTAGCAAGAGCAAGAGTCTACCGCAGAGTGTGCCTCACTGGTGGGGATCATGGTACCGACGCAAGGGCTACACAATGAGCATAGCTCGAGCGGATATGGCCCGCCACCCGGGCCTCAGCTCCCTCCAATCCGATCCCGTGCACTTCTGAAAGGGGGAAATTGGCGTGCTACTAGCTGCGGACCCATCCACCTCGTGCAGGGGAAGGACCGTACTCGGTCATGAGTGTACGGTTTGTTCTCAAGTCGTACTGAACTCGTACCGAAGTGAACTGCACCGATATTAGTAAATCAGTTCGTCGCGTAAGATGAGGGTCCACACGATCCTGAAAAGGTTGCAAATGCGTGCAATTCTTCCTCTCACCTACAATCACCCCATATTTTATCGCTTTACTGATGTCATACAGTCAGCCAAATTTCAGAATTGTATGTGAGAAGTTTTTTAAAATGTGAAGTTTGGTGGTGTATTCAACAGTGGGCGTAACCCATTTTTTACATTGTGCAACCATCAGTCCCACTGGGTGGTTCCTCTCAGTTTGTCGTTTGTCGTTGGCAAAGTATCCAACGGAGGAACGGCCACTAGGCAAAATGTCCTGTGTCGCGAAAAATCTACGAACGCCATCGATCCAGTGACGGAAAGTCGCAGGCATTGCAACTACAGTAGTTGGCTTGAACCTCATGCTACAACCTCTCCTGACGACAGTTACTTGTATGGAATAGCTGTGATCAGTACACGTCCTGTAGCTGGAAAGATCTTTTGCAAACCTTCCAAATTTTATCCTCTGGGACCCTTTCTTGAAATGGAGGCATATACGACTTCTCTCCCCATCTCTCAAGGTTGTGGATAGCGCAAGGGAAGCAGGAGCGGTCAAGTATCGAAAAAAATTTTCTCCGGCGAGATACGGCTCTCCTTCCCCTCCAGGTAGGGGATCCTCAGCGAACAACGTGCCCTGGTGGGAGTGGCAGAGGCTGTTTGCCTGAAAAGACGAATTCCTAGATTCTCCACAAACTTTTTTTTCATTTTTCTTTCCAAGACCTTGATCTGCTCACAGATTTCATCGTTATCGATTGCAGCGCTTCACGTGATGTTCTTCTTGGCATTTTGAATGTTATGGATGAGTTTGAAGCGACCAGAAAGACGACAATGACGATTTTCGATGATGAGGTATACTTGGCAATAATTTTTTTTCTTCGAGCGTAATAAAAAAACGTACTCATTAAGTCGGGAAACTATGGTTGTACATCTGTACGGCTAAACTCAGACTTTCAGTTCTCAGCGGTGTTTTAGGGCAACCGGGGACCGTGTGTAGGGCGGTCATGACGTTTGGCACCTTGAGTTCTCGCGCCTTTTCGGTGTTTCGTTCCGTAGGTGTTCATCTAACTTGGATGCACATCTATGGGAAAGAACTGCTCTCTCTCTCATGTGTAGAGAAGGTGGAGAAGTCAGCTCCCCATGATAGAACCTTTCTTCAGGATCCTAAGCCATGGTTCTCAACTTCTGACTGTACGACGATGAAAGTGAGTGTTGAATCTGGCACGAAATATGAAAACTTCTCCTGAAAATATGCCAATGAACAGATTATACGAAGGCTTTATGCCAGTGTAGGTCTGATTTGCGGAGAGTGGCGAGTGCACGCTCAATCAAGGTTCGGTCAAAAGCCAAAGAGATCTTTTACTTCTCGCGGAACTGAGAGAGGGGCAAATCGGCACCCAGATTCTTCGGAGAATGAAAAACACGACTTATACATTGGCCGGCCTACGCAATTCCGGCATATCATACTAAGTGGGACCAGTGCCCGCTTCCCTGAAGGGATTGATCATTAAAAGACGCTTTATCACTTGTCCTTGTATAGGAACTGTATTAGACGTTTTCAAACCTTGGTTGTCTTGCATGCACGCTCGTGGTTCCAATAAAGAGACCCTCCAATACTGATGGTGCCGTCGTGACCTATATCCCAAACTCGGAATGCGAAGCAATGGACGCTGGAAATGGCATACTCGGGCGCTTATGCACCGTGTTTCTTGAGAATCTGCCAAACGATGTGCCGTGGTTTGCTGTGCCTTAGACGATCAGCTTGGTCTGTAAGTAGAGTTAAAGGCGTACGGACACGATAATTTGGTACTCTGTCTTGAATGCTAGCAAGGTGCTATATAGTGGAAAAATGGCGAAAAAACGAAGTGAAATGGTTGAAAACCCGCAAAGAAAAGTCTTCATGACTCGGAAAGTAATTTCGGACGAATTTTCCGAAGGCATCGTGCCAGTAACCACTACGGTAGATACGGCTGCACGTATGTACTCATATCCATGCAGCACCGTGGCCGCTTCATATCAATCCCTTCGCTTCATATTTTACTTCGCAAATGAAGCAATACGAGCATCAGGTACGGTCGTCCATTTGTGGGCGGGCGGGCGCGGTGGGCGTCCGGGTCGGTATGTTGCAGCTTGATAGGGCCTTATAAGGGTACCTTCCTTGAAAAAGGCATTACGCAGCGCCTGCTCAGGGGCGCGGAATTCCGTCCTGCCAGTCGTGTTAATACCACTCGTCTCAGAGATTTATCGAGCTAGCTGCCTTTAATTCATGGTGAACAATTCGTGAACCATACGGTGCATAAAAAGCGACGTTGTGTAAAAAGCTAGGCAGCTGGCATCTTCCAGTAACGACAGTCTCTAGCAAACTACGCATCGGTGACTCAGTCACAAAAGCCACGCAGCTGCTTCAGGCTGAAACTTCTCGCCGATAATGGATGTCTTTACGGGATCCTCATGAGGGATCACCAGCCCATAAATATTTTACCTAAGTGCTCGGTATACCTTGTACCCTGTGTAGCATAAAATTGGCCACATAGTTTCTGCGGGCCTGAGCTTGTAAATACTCACTTTCAAAAACTACCGCCCAGCTTGTAAGAATGTAAAGGAGAACGGAAGCCCGTTAGTGTGCCGCACGGACTGACCTTGGACGCATGGCAGTCGGGGGAGTTCTTCGCTTCTGACATGACAGTTGTGGGGGTATTCTCCGCTTCTACAAGAATGAACTGTTTTCGAGCCGGTCAAGCTGTTGAAATTTGGATCCTTTCTTGAAAGGA